GTTTCTGGCTTGTCTTGGCTTTTGCTCCCAACTCTATGATTATCTGCTCTATGCGTTGTAAAATTGTCGGTGTCATTGTTATGAGGCACGCGGCTACGTTGAGGTTGGGGTAGGGCGTTACATCTAGTCAGTGAAACTTCTTTTTACCATTTTCATTGGGGTAGCTCGAAGTTTTTCAACGTAATAATGCAAATGAAAAAAACTATAATTAATTGCTAGCTACGTACAACGGGCGAGGGCGTGGTCAATGAGGCGCTCAGCTGAGCTGCGCTGAGCTGAGCTGAGCTGAGCTTTGGCGTCAGGCACAAGCCACTGCGCCAGCGGCCAGTTAGAATACCCTGTTAAATGAGCAATATGGAAGTGGAGTAGAAACTGATATGAAGCAAGGTTAGCTCATAATGTCGATTAATCTTAAATGAGATAAAATTAATATCTCAGAGTTTCCTCAGTTGAAGATATATAAAGAACAGTAGTTTTGCTTAAGAAAGTCCGGCATATACCTATATCTTGCCAGTTAACCTCAAGGAACTCAACAGGTCTTGACATATTACTATTCACAGAGTAAACTTCCTTTCTGAAATGACTTACATATATAAGATCTTCAAGATCTAAGCTATAGTGGCATAATCGACCTATAAAATCTAAGTTACCCAAGCAGCAATATCTACAGCGGTAATCTCTCAGTTGGGTGTGCCGAAAATTGTAGCCCATCAACTTAATCAGAAAGTTTCATTTGAATCAGTTAATGTGCGCCCAAGTAACAATGGAAACCAAGTTTGTATTTCCGCTCTAAGAGATATCTTCGAGTCGCTCACTTCCTTCTGCTGCAGGTTGAGCATGCATTTTGTTGGCTCTAGCTGCCCACTAATTAAATGAGTTGAGAGCGTGAAAAAGTCGCATGTTGCATCATTCAAAGATGAAGACGAAGCTAACTGCAATTCATGGCAGCAACAGCAGCAGCAGCAGGAGCGCCATGACCTAGGCATTGTGCTGGCATGTGGCATGTGGCATGTGGTATTGAAATGCCAACTAACGGTGCATTAGCTTCATCATTAAGCTCAGAGGCCGATGATATGAAAGCATCTATTATGCTGCTCTTTGAGTATATTGAAAATTTATTTGGCATTTGGTCTTGATTTGTGGCCCATTAGCACCTTTCGATTTGAGCTTGGGTTCTAGATTCTCTTTCTTTATTTATTTTGTTTATTTTTAGTTGTTTATTTTTTTTGGCTTTTTGGTTTTTCGGTTTTTGTTTTTTGGGCGACTTAGAAAGCGTGTAAATTAAATGCCAGCGAAAGTTGACTTTTCTGTTTCCATTTCTTTTGTTATTATTATTTCTATGCAAATTAGCTGAAGAGCTCCTAAATTTTGTGTCGCAATCCGCGATCCGACAATAATGAGTTTTTGTTTATATACACCAAACAAATACATATATTTCGCTTTTCATCTCTCCCTTGAGAAATATAATTTTAACAATGTGTTAATTACACGGGAATTGAGAAACAAACCGTATGAACAAATCTGTGCTTAATCGTTAATTTATGATACTCGTAGCGGTAAACGACATGAAGCAATCAGCCTGAATGTTGAATGCTGATTCTTTGCCTTGTCTTTCGGCCTTATGCTTCGCTGATCATCAGCAGCTAAAAGTTGAGAGAGCTCTTGAGCAGAGCTCATAAAGTTGGCTCAATGTGTGAGCTATAAATTTAAATGAATGAATGCTGCTGTTGCTTCTATTAAGAATATCAAAAGAAGACATATTTAATTGAATATAAGTCAAGAAAAATATATATAATATAAGCAATATTTCAGACTGTCGTGAATTCCATCTTCTTTAGTCCCAGCTAAAGTTAGCTTATGTCATATGTACAGCTAACATATCATTAACATACCAAGTTTTCCTTGCCGTTGACCAACTTTTCTCATTTATTTTAATATCCTCAAAAATCTTGCTTATTTAATGTGCGATTTTCATGTCATATTATGGAGAAAGGCTCTGGCTCTGGCAGCGCATCCACCATGATGATTGGCACCCAATCCCGCTTGTGGCAATCAAAATGCCGAGGCTGCCAATCGAATTGATAGTCAGTCGCGTATGTCGCGTAAGTCTCGTAATTCTCTCTTGTCCATAAATCCAGGTTTCGAGACATTTAGCGCATTTCCAAAGCTTTAAACGGCATCGAAATTGTTTTGCAAAGCGCGCGCATTGCATCGGCTCGATTATCGCTAGCTAAGAACAATTAAGTAACTTCATTAGGCCACAGCTGGTAGCCTATTTAGATGCGGATACCTTTCTATCTATGTGCCTAGCCATTCAATTAAGCACCGCCATGGGCTCGCTGTGAGTTTTATAGAGATGTTCGCTACGTTTCATATATCGTGCATAATGCGAAGCGAATCTCCTCTCGTGTTTCGGAGTTGAAACTGCATTTTATGCGCAATCATTGAGTTTTATTGTATTTAGCGATATATATTTGACTAAGCTAGACTTTTATTTATAACAACAATCGATAAAACTCGCTTTTTAGTTAAAGCTGTTTATCTAGTAGTTAGATATTATAAATCTATGAGCCTAGATAAGCTAGCGATAGCTTTAACAACTGCATACGATTTTTGTTTTATATAACTTTTTTCGTTTCACAATCGATAAATATCGATAGTCTAGTCTTCTAGAGTATAGGCATTGTCTGTTAAGTACACACTGAAGTTAGAGTCTAACTATGTCAATGAATTACATGGATCGTGTGCCTAGGCTAAGTCAAATTCCACACGCTCTCATCTCTAATGGATAATTAGAGTGGTGAAGGTACTGTGAAGACCTAGGCCCAAATTGAATGCAGCTAACTAACGCATTTTTTCTTGATGCAACCTGTTTCCGCAACTGCCACAGTCGCAGTCGCTGGAATATGTGGATTATGTGTTTGTGTGTCACGTCGAGCGTGCAACGCGGTACGTGCAACTCGCTCAACCTGTCGATAGTCGGCCAGATATATGTATATATACATATATATATGTGCAACGCCAATTGGCCCCGGCTAGCAGCCCAATGTGTGTCGTCTCCATCACCAGCTACGGAGCGCCAATTCCCATCTACGAGCATCTCGCGAATTGCCAATTGGCAATGGCCAATCGAAGCCATAAATTATGTCGTTGTTGTAGCTGGAGTTGCAGTTGGGAGACTCGAAAAGTCGCCTCCGTATGATCATCATCGCCGTCATACATACATAGACGTATGCCTGAGCTGCCCAGGCCTAGGCGCACATCAAAATTTATAGGTCAGTGGTGGCAACAAATTGCCAAGCTTTTCCGATTTTTCCAACTCCTTTTTGTTTTTCTGGTGTGTGGGCTGTGTATAGATGATGGAATGTGAGAAGCTGCCCTCAGACATGACCGTGATCTGGACATGTGCATTGAATTGTGTCTACCCCAGCGCCCCTACCGACCTCATCCACAATGACAGCTTGTCTTTTGTCCAAGTTTTTTTTGGCTGTTTTTCTTTGCTGCTGCTGCTGCTGCTGCTGCCAAAACTGACCCACTCAGCAGCAAAAGGAAGTTTTCATCGATTGTCCCAGGCGCTGCACTGCAGCAACTGTTGCTGCTTGGCTGCTCGGCTGTCGGCTCTGGTTGTTGTCGTTGCCAACATTATGACAATCGATTTGCAATGGAAAGCCATTGCCTGAAGGCGCTCCATTTATAACAAGTGGCCACATTGACTGCCCGGCCAGCCTCTACTCTGGCCATGGATAACTTTATACGCTCCCATCTTGAGTGTATTTCTTAGCAAATACCCTAATATGGGATGGGGGTTATATAGGCTACGTAAGCAAATATGTGGGAAGCGGGCAGAGCGGAATGAGGTTATTTAGTATGTTTGCTTTATGTGTTAGGGATATTTTTTCTTCTTTATGTCAGACTTTTATATCCATCTAACTGCTAACCTGCTCATGCTAAACTTGTAATAATAGAAATTTCACTTTGTGCCTATCGACCTTTGAAATTGTTCTATGGGAGCTCCTTTGTTCTGGAAGTTATTTTGCTGAAATTCGACTGCCTTGAGCTTACTTCTTTTATAGAATATGAAATGTCTATAATTATATATAATTGAAGATTTACTATACAAGAAATATGCCTATTGAAGTTTCAGCTGAAAGCTCTAAGTATATCAGGAGATATTCTTCTTTAGTCCAGCCAAATTTGAGATATGAATATAAAAGCATTTCTAATTATTATAAATAAATCTATTGAATATGTATTTTGGCTGCTGCTTGGTAAATATATTCCTTTGAATTGATAGATAGTATAGAAAATAGATCTGTATAGATATATAGTCGATTTGTTTGGATGATCCTTAGTATACGATATTGTATAGACGCTAGATCTTTTGTATAAAGTATATGGATAGTAGATCGTAAAACATACCTTATACAAATTATAGAAAATATTTCTTTTATGCACAGCTGATAGATCTAAGACGAATTTTTTTCTACTTTCGAGTGTTGTCTTAGATCTTAGCTCCAGGTCAGCTAGAGTATTTGAACTCTGGCATAGGCTTAGAGCCAGCCTTGTCATTGTTGTTGTTCCTATTGCTCTCGCTGTAGTCGCAGTTGTCGTCGTTTGCTGTTGTCGCTGTCAGCAGTTGTTGTTGCTGCTGCTGCTGCTTGTTGCTGTTGCTGTTGGCTGCCCCATGTTGCAGCTTTCAAAGTCAAGTTGTACCAATAATTCTGCATTTGACATTCAACTGCTCTGCGCTTTTTGTTGCTTTTTGTTTCTGTGCCATTTTCGGCCAAAAACGGTTTCTTAAGCTATCTACCTCCCACCCCCCAAAACTGTCTGTAATATATATGTGTATATATATATCGTTGCATTGTCTTTTTGGCCAACTCGTAGCTAATTAAGCGGAAAATGTCAAAGGCAATTGCTTTATGGTTGGCTTTTACCAAATTTGGTTGGCTCATTAGAGTTGTTGGTGGGCAGCTTGACTTGTGGCTAACAGCACTTACCTTATTATCCTTATTGTTGTTGTTGTTGCTGTTGCTGTTGCTGTTGAGTTTCTGCTGATAGTATTCCTCGCGCGCATGCGTATTGAGACTGTCTATCAATGCGGAGGCATTCACATGCGCATCATAGACCATGGCATCGCTGGGTGCTGCCGCTGCTGCTGCTGCTGCTGCTGAGGAGGAGCTGGCTGCAGCAAGTGGTATATTGGCCTGGGGCGTGCGCGTGTATAGCTGCTCTATGGGCAGGGCGGGGGCGGGCGAGTTGGCAGTTGTCATGGTGGCCGAATGGGTGGAGCCAGCTGGCGTTACCTTCTGCTGCTGCGGCTTGGTCGATAGCTTCTGATAGCTGCTGGTGCTGCCACTCTGCTTCTTGTTGGCCGTATTTGTGGGCGGCTTTGACTGGGCCGCTGCATTCGCGGCTGCGGCGCTGACACTGCCGGGTCGCTGCTGTGGGCCACGTTTCAGTGCCGCGGCCACCTTGTGGCCAAAGGGTCGCTTGGTGGGTCGAATCTTGTGCTTGCCCATGGTGCTCAGCGTGCGTTGGTTGCCCGCACTCGAGGTGGTGCTGGTATTGGGCTCCGGATCGGCTGCTGTGATCGCAGCGATATTGTTATTCGAGCGTGCGGCCACAAACTGATCATCCGGATCGGTGGCATCGGTCAGAGCATCGCCACTCGTTGTCGACTGCTCCGATTCGAGTTCATCTTGCTCCTGCTCCAGTTGCTCGGTGGATTGGGTGTCCTCGGCGCTGTTGCCCAGCGTGGTTGCCGCCATCTCGCTCACATCGGTTGTGGTGGGCAGCTCCTTCATGAGCATGGTCTGGGCCGTGACCTCCGCCTGCAGCGCCGCCTGCTCATTCATGGTATTCTGCAGCTCCAGCAGCGTGGTCTCGTCCAGCAGCAGTGTGGGATCCGTTTCGGCTTCGGTATAGCCGGTGGTGGGCAATGTGCTGCCCTCGGCCTCCTCTGTGGACAGCTGCTGTGTGCTGCTGGTGCTGCTGTTGTTGTTGTTGTTGGTGGTGGTGCTGCCACTGTTGCTCCTCGCCGAGGTTTGCTCCTGCTGTATCAGCTGCTGCTCCTCAATGTCCAGCGTCTCCTTGAGCCGGGCCACACGCTCCACAATCCTGGCCAGCATATCCTTCTGCGGCTCGGGCAAATTCTTCGTATCCAACTCCAGCAGACGATCGTATTTCTTCATATTGCGCTTAACGGTTTCGATGTCGGCGCGTGTCTTCGACGCTGGCGGCGCCAAGGTGGGATAGCTGGGGCTCTCCATGAAGTGGGTGCGCGCACGCCTATTGCTGTAGCCCACCAGCTCGATGACGCCGGGATAGTCCGCTTGCGTGGCGGCGGGCAGAGCGCAGAGCATTGCAAGCAGCGCCAAGGCGCAGCTCCAGGCTGCACTGAGCGCCATCTCTTCTAACAGAGCCGGGGAGAAGGTGTTGCAGTTCTTGCAGGTGGCTTAGCTGCTATTAACACTCTCTCACGCACACACACACACACACAGTTGCACACACTCACGCACTTTTCGAAAAGTGGAACTCGCTTTGGTTTTGTCTTTTGCTTTACTTATTTATATCCAGTTTTATATCGAATTTATTTTCTTTATATAAATTACTTTTTTTTTAATAAATATTTTTTTATTTTAGTTTTTCGTATTTTTTGTTCAACCCGTATTAGTGTCAACTAACTGTAACTGGCTGCACGGCGCACGACTCTGTTGTCAATTCCAAGTCCAAGCTGGTCAGGAGTCAGCTTTACTGTGGATCTAGGCACTTGTCTCTCTCTTTCTAGATATTAATACATATATAAACATACACATGTATGTGTGTATATATGTATGTATTTCTATTTGATTATTTATTAAACTTCTTCTACTTTCGTTAGCCTTCGCGCTCCGATCGCAGTTGCGCAGTCGTCTAACGTCTTGGTACAAATGTTTCAGGCCGCGTTGCGGCAGCGTCTTTTAAAAATTTTCAACCGGAAAACGCTGCCGCTGCTGCCGTCAGCGTCGACAGTGACGTTGCCGTCGCCGTCGCCGTCGCCGTTTTGCTGTCTCGCTGCAGACTTTTCTCCCAGCTTTTGCGAACCGGTTTGACTCGCTGTAGAAAGATACCAAGATCTAACAGTTGCAATGTCTGCAAAAGTTCTACTTAAATATTGTTGAATTTTTAACAGTTTCTTACATTCAGTATTATCATTATTTATTTATTTACTTTTATAAATATTTATTTTTTGCACTCGATTTAAGGCCAAAATTTCAGCTGAATACCCTAATTCTAGCTTAACTGTTAAGTTAACAGCTGCTGTTAGCGGCGCTGTTAGGCTTCGAACATGTTGCATTGTTGAACTGTTGTTGAAACGTTGTTGAACTGCTACAATTTTCGGGGTCTTCGCCTTCGCCTTGACTGAATGTGCAATATGTTGAGTTCGTTTGACAGCTGATCAAGTTGTTGTCGATGGCTTGGGGAGGGCTCCCGCTCGACAGGGGGGCTCGCTCCATTCAATTAGTCATTCCACGCACACACACAATCGAGCTGCTGCTGCTGCTGCTCGACTAGATTCTTTGCATTTTGGCCTGGTTCTTGGCTTTCGCTTCAATGTCAACGCCGCATCGTTTAGCCTGTCATCGATGTGCTCTATAAAATGATAGGAAAGCATAGAGTTTTGTATGACGATCACGTAATACTCTTGCCTTGACTTGTTTATGCATGTTTACTGCTGGAGATTTTACAAATTTGACTTTTATGTTGCTCAGATCGGGAACTGACTGAGTGTGTTTTGGTTGAGCTGAATCATTGCTCATAAACATTGGTATGTCTGATAAGAAAGTATTCGTTGTGCGTATGAGAACGACCATTTGGTATCATTGATGGCTGGACAGATAAGTGAGAGTTTCTATATGTATATTTGGGAATTGGAGTAGATGCCAAGAAGCTGGGATAGGAATATCTCAAGTCTCTATTTTAGAGTTTTCTCTTAGATAACACCATCTAATATATTGAATTTCGATATGAAGCAGATAAGTTGAGAAATGTCTAAATTCTAGTGAGTGTATTATTGAGAGTAATCGAAATTTCAATATTAGCGGAGAAATTAAAAATAGTTTTATTATGAACAAAACTTGGTTTTTTAAAGCATGAATAGATTGTTCATAAGAAACAGGGTTTTTTATGCATCAATTGCTTAATAATGATGATCACTGCATAAAATTCTGCAGTCGTTCAGCTTGACATATATTCTGAAAGCTTAAACTAAATTCATATACCTACATCTGATATATCTAGCATCTCTATTCCCACTTACGAACAGCACATACTCTCCATATACTCTAACTCAATCTAATTCATCTCCCAACTGGTCAAACCTGCCGCCCAGAGACACCTTAGCCGGCGACTCGCCTGCTCTGGCTGCCTCGGTTTCAATTTAGCTTAAATGACAACATTTATAATACACATAATTTGTCGCGTGTGCTCTCACTCGAAGTTAATTGAGTCCCCGCCCTCCTCTCGCCAGCCCACTCCATTCTCAACGCGGCCCTGTGATCGTACGTGTTGTGGCTGCTAATGATCTTCATGGATTTCCATTTCTAGCGGCCTTTCTCATAAATATACATATATGCACCTATATATATATGACTCAGTGGATATCTATAGACTAGATATAGCGGAGTGTTTGCCATTGAAAATTTCTACCATGGGAACGCCATAAAACAATAACAAATGGCACCCAGGTCGTTGTCTGCTGGGCTCCCACTGGGTCCATGTCCAATAAAAGAAACCGAGCGTTAATTAAAAAAATGGCCATAGATCAATGCACCTGATAGATGAGCCAGCTGTGGCTGCTGTTGCTGCTGCTGTTGCTGTGGCTGTTGCTGCTGCAACTCTTGCTGCTGTTGCTTGCGGCTTACTTACTGCAAAAGTTGTCCATAATTTGCTGAGCAACAAGAAGAGGAGCCCAAAGTTTTGCCTCCCTAATTGTGGCACGCCCTCCTTTGGCATGCGTTTGACAAGTCCTTAGGCGCTTCATTAGCCAAATGGAAGACACGTTCTGATCGCATTGACACACATGCAAATCGTGGGTGCCATTTGCCGTTGTGAGTGGGTGCTGCTGCTGCTGCTGCGTGGCCAGCTGCAACTGTTGCTGTCGAAAAACAAAAAGTATACGAGGAAAAACGAAAAATAGTTGCAACCGGGCAACTTTCTTCGGCTTATCTTTATGCATATGCAACGCAATGGCGGCGTCTGCATTCTTTGGTGGCAAGACGGCATAAAATATGCGAGCGACGCGGCGCGGCGCGATCATCTGCCACAGCAGCAGCAACAGCAACAGCAGCAGCAGCGGCAGCAGCAACATCCACGGCATTGGCATTGGCAACTGCAACTCTTGAACTTTACCAGCAATGAAAAGCTTGGCTGTGGCCCTTTTAGCCAGCGACTGTTTAGCATTTGCAGCCGAGAGCAACTTTTGCATAGACATAGACACACGGAGAGAGAGAGAGAGAGCGTGAGCTGGAGTGTGTGAGCGAGAGAAAGGCTGAGGGAGTGTAAGTGAGCGAGCGAAAGAGATGCTGCACGATGCTGCTGCTGCTGCCGCTGCTGCTGCTGCTCAAGTGCCAATGGCAATCTGCTTTTTATACCAAATACCCATTGCAAATGTTTGCAGAGAGGTATAATAACCTCTATACATATATGGAACAGTCAGAAGTAGAATTTCTCATAGAGTATATATAATTATTATTTAATTTGTTTCTCTGTATAAGCAGCTAAACCCGCCTGATTACAGTAATAAATATATGAGTTTATGCATATCCCATATTTCTGCCTCAACGCTTTACAGTCTGTTATATTGAAATTTTAAAAATATCGATAAATGACGATATTGATTTATAGAAATATATCGATATATGTATTTATCAATCCACTGTAAACACAGGGTATCTGCTAGCTGAACAGCCTCATTTTGGGGAACTCTTGCTTGTTGTTGTAGTTCTTGTTGCTGTTGCCGTATGTTGTTGTTGTTGCTGAGGGAACTTTATTTGTTGCTGTTGCTGCTCCTGCTGCTGTTGTTGTTGCTGTTGTCGTTGCTGCTGCTGCTGTTGTTGTTTATTTCCCTGCAGTTTGATCTTTTGGTCTTTGGCGGTAATTTTTGTTGCCGCATCGGCGTCTGCGCCTTTTCCTTAGCAATTGTTGCTGCTGCAAACACTCTATTGGCTTTCGGTTGCTGCTGCTGCTGTTGCTGTTGCTGTTGCTTTACTGTGCCTGCCTTTTGCATTGCATTTCTTATTTCTATTTTCGCTTTATCTGCGAGTTTTGTCTTCATTTTTATTTTAATAGTGCAAATGATTCCGCTCTTTTGCAAATTGCTGCTGATTTTTTAGCCAGCGATAAAATGCACGACGGCAACATCTCTCTGTTGCTGTTGCTGTCGCTGCTGCTGTTCGCATTGCGCCTTCTCTTTAACACATAATGATTTCAAATAGTTGCTACTTTGGTGCTGGGTGCGAAATTAATTTGAATTATTACTATTATTAGATGTTATTTGTGTAATGCGGCGTCCGACAGCGCTTGCCCAGGTACAGTTAGGGCGCAGATGTTGCTGCGGCTGCATGTTGCTGCCGTGCATTATGCAAGATTGCCAGACGTTATCCACAGCAAATGCGGCACTGTAAGAGCTGCAACAAATTTCAGTGATAAGCCAAACCGACGGGCAAACAGTTGGCGCTGCAACAGCAACAACAGCAGCGGCGGCAACAATTGCTGCTGCATAACTTGTGCCTGCTTCAATTACCAATTGTTGTTGCCGTTTAAATGATTGCATTGTTGGCCACATTTAAATTTATTAAAACTGCGCAGCTTCTAACGGGCAGCAGCTTGGAATGTTGCTGCTTGCTACCGATGCTGCTGCTGCTGCTGCTGCTGCTGCTGCTGCTGCCGTTCATTGACCGTGCAACACTTGGCCTTGCGCCTCCTCCTGCCGTTCGATTGTCGATTCTCAGCAATTGTTTCTCTTCTTCTACATTCTGCATTTTGCATGCAATTTAATGTCATTTGTCATTTGCTTAATTGTGACCAAGCGCTTGTTGCATTTCCTGCAACAACTAAATGCCGTTTTGTAATTGTTGCAAAGCACGCAGCTGCCAATGATGTTGCTGCTGCTGCTGTTGCTACAGCATCTGCTCTATAGTCGGCTTCAGTTCTGCCGCTGGGCCATTTAGTTTCAATTAATCAAGTTGTCGCTGCACGCGTCTATTAGCTGTTTATGACAGTGCCCACCCCTCGGGGGGGCGCGAGTCCAGTTGCTTCACTCATTAGCGGCGCCCCCAAGTTGCAACAGTTGTTAGAGTTGCTGTTGCTGTTGTTGTTGTTGTTGTTGCTGTTATTAAATACTCCCGTGGCAGTTGCCGCTACTGCCTCACGGTGATTTCTCGGCCACATTTAGTCCAGGTTTTTTACTTAATGCTCGCCCACGCCATCAACACGAGCATATGAGCTTGAGTTACAGTTTCTGTTCTATTCCTCTGTTTCCGGTCACATACTAAGTTTTCTTCTCAGTTCTATTCGAACAGGGATACTGTTCGTTTTTCTCCTTTATCTTCTCTTAAGAGAGCATTACGAGGAATGAAGAAAGAGGGAAACTCATTTTTTTCTTCTTGATGCTTCCTTCTCTTTTATCTTTATTCTCTCTATCTCTCTCTGTGTTTGTCTCTCTCTTTCTTTCCTTCTCTTCTGCTTGGCTTTCTTCTATCTCATCTACTTCGCTCTG